TCCCTGAAGGAGGCATCCCTGCACCCAGCCCTGCTGCCTCCCTTTTGCCAGTGTTAGCACTCAAGCAGCCATGTTGTCAGTTGGATCAGGGAACTGGTGCATCTGGAAGCTAACCCAAACACGCACACACACCCCCCCAAAAAAATCTCTTAATTTTCACCTGGCTCAGCTCCCTGACCTAGCCCGTACAAGCACTGGCCTTGGCTGAGGGCGCAGAAGGGCTAGATGGCCCATGGAGGGTGAGAATGAACTGCTAGCTAGAGGTAGGGAGGTATGTGATACCACAGGTCAGCAGAGAGTTTCTTGGGAAGAATGAGACTCTTCTGCTGTGCCTCAGTTCTGGCAATGGCTCGTTCCTTAGAGATAGACTGGACGTGAAATCCTGTTACTCTCCTACCCCACTAATGATATGGGAATAGTAATGCTGAATTTATCTGTAGATTAATTACTGCTTGTCAGGCAGTTTTGTAATGTCAATTAAATAAAAATTAGAGAAAGAGAATGCTCTTTCAAATATGGAAACTTCTGTAGGCTGGTACTATCGCTTGTTCTGTATAGAAAGTGATAATATATGGACAATTCCTCCAGACAAATGAGCCTTCAAGGCAACCTGTCATGACAGAAAGCTTGTTAAGGTTATCTTGATACAATCAGTATTTGCAAACACAATAGCCCGCAAAAATAATAATTTTTAGTCACAAATGTTTGTAAGCCCACAGAGAAAAGCTGCTCCCATGGTGGTTATGGAGGCTGGCTAAAGAGCAGCCCTTAACAAGACGCAACCTGGAAAGAAAGAATCTTCTAATCCTCAGGCTTTGAAGGTAGTTTATTGGAGGTCATGCATAACTTAATCAGAAAATCAAAAATCAGGATGAAAAAAGTTGTTGCTGACACCAGAGAACTCTTTTTTTTCCCCCTAATTCATGTTTTACAGAATGATTGGAAAACTATAAAAGTAGTCAAGCTTTGATATGGAGCAAGAAAGACCAGATGTTTTACAGGACTGGAATGTTAGCCAGTTCTTAAGTGAACTGAAGAAAGTTCTTGTTTTTATTTTACCTCTAATCATTTTAAATAATGGACTAAACTTAAAGGAGAACTGGGTTGGCAGAACTTGCATCTTCTCCTGATCCTATGATGTAAGCTATGTTAATGTAAACTCAGATTTTTTACTTGTCTTGGTTCCCTTAGAGTCACATTTCATGAGATTAGACCTCTAAAGTTGGCCTTTTAGTCTAAATGTAACCAAAATGGGTGGTCACTCTACTAGGTCATTTTATCAGACTTCTTTCTTTGTCTTTAAACAAAGGATTATTTCTTTTCACTGCATGTGAGAAAAAACCACAAAAGATATTATTCCTTGCGTAAGTTTATATCTATGACATTATTCCTTATAAAAGGACAAAAATTTATTTCTTACTCTCCAGCCAGTGTTGTACTAATTACTCTCAATATTTTTGGTACTTTTGCCTAGATCTAGAATTACAAAAAAGATCTTTATCTCTATCTGTTGTCCAGCCTTACCCAGCTGCAAATAGAGAATCTGAGCTAGTAAAACACACAACCATATGTTCAACAACTTTAAACTTATGCCAAAGTTTTCTTGCCTTCAATCACAGTTAAGCATATTATTAAGATGACACATGTGCTATCTTGTAGAAGAGGGAATATGCATTAGTCACTCTAGAGTTTACATTGCTTTATATGAAACCAAAGTTGATCCATGGACATACGTATCTGTAATTTCTGTTGTGTCTTCTTTTAATGATTTGGGCTCAGAATTTTGGTCATCATTAATTCCTTCCATCCTATTTTGAAACAAGATTTTAGTGAGTTGCTGGGCCAATAGTGATTTCATGAAGTTTCCCTGTCCCCTGTGGGCATTTTATCAGGTTAAAATATGATATTGTTGTTTACTCTTGTTCAAAGACCTTTTCCTTTCTGTGTTTATGTTCTATTCAGAACTGATTAATGTGGAAAATATCTTACTCCAGTCTCTTTGAAGAATTAAAGAAGTGGGAATGTTTTATCTTTCTGCTCCACTCAAGATTCTAGACTCTCTAGACTCAGTTTTGCATTGCCCTGTGTTGTCATTTATGTACATAGAGTAATTGAAGAGTATGCAAAAGTGATAAATTAGCATTTTGCACTGATGTATTGATTGGGCCATGGAGAATAGGTCTACTATAATTTCACATTCTGCAAAGACCATGGGCAAGTAAAATGAAAACAGAGCTGCTTGCAGAAGCTTGGTATTTATTTATTTGCTGACTTAGGTCAATAGGGTTAATTTGAAAGACACAGTGCTTGTACTTCTGTTGACTTTAGCTGAACTTGTAGGTAGCAATAGCTCATTCAAAAGGTTTACTGAAAGTCAAAAATGCTGTAAAAATCAGGCAACAATGCACGTATCATAAACATGGTAGGAACACTTGTTCACGTGTATGGAGTAACTGCTGATGAACTAGCAACTACGTGACCTTCCACAGAATATGGAGGCTATGGTAAACGGTCTTTGCTTCTGGCTGCGGGAAAGCCAAACGCCACCGTATTATTGTCTATGTATTCTGTAACCAACAGTTTTACTACTGGTTTTACTGCTTGCCACAATGCTGAGGGACGGTTCCAGTATCTGAATGAACTTGAGACCAGAGGGACTAGAGTCCCTGGGCAGTGGGAAGGGCAGGCCTCCAAGAGGATGGAGCTGTCTGGGGATTAAAAGAACCCTCAGGTTTTCAGTTAGGGTTGGTCTGCCAGCATCTCTCACTCACTTCCTTTCTCTCTCTGGTCAGAAATGACCTCAAAAGATGTCCACAGGAAAGTGTTATGAAAATAGATATATTTCCACTAAATACTTTTTCTTTAATGAGAAAGAATACGTGGCTAAAGTGCTCAGATCAACTCTGAATTTAACTAATTTTAATGGAAGATTTTAGTTTATATTTTCCACTCTGTTCTGCAATTCTCAGCCGTGATTCTAATTTCAATATTGTTAGAAGTACAAAGGAATAGTTTTTAATACAATATTTTAGTTTCTCCCTTTGAAGTATCTTCTATTTATGAGTTCATAAAGGTTTATGTAACATCTCTTACTATATATGGTACTGAGTTCTCTATGGAGAATTGATAGTGTGTTGATCTCCATTAATGTAGCGATCCTCTACCTGATATATACACAGAATTGAAAAAATATTAGTAGGGTTGTAAAATCTAGCATAGAATAAAGATTTCCAGCACAACTGTTACTCTGATACTTTGTGCCTGTATTATGATATTTATTATATGAATTCAATTTTTTTCTGTACCCAGGACCCCTATTTTGGTCAAAGTACACAATAAGTAGTGCCACTTGATGAGCAACTAATTAATATTTTGTTTTATATTCATATTTCAGAGGGTGGCCTGTTTTCATCTGAGAGATCAGTCAACATTCAAGATCTTGTGGGTGTTCCCCCTAAAAGGGGAGACTAGTGATGGAATCAAGGATTTTGTCAATTTAATCCCCTTCATTTAGAAATAATTGACAGTCATGAAGTGACAGTTTGCTGGACTCAGTAGGAGTCAGACAAGAAGCATTTTCTTTTGTTACATTTTCAAGCAACACTAGCATTAATTCTGCTGCTGTTAGTTTCTGTCCTGCTTCTGCTGGCATCTCCATCAAACAATACCCAGTCCCTCCAACTAATGTTCATCTAGGCAGGGAGCTCAGCTTCTGACCAACTTTGTATACAATCTGTATTTACAGCTGACTCACTTTCAAAAGAAGTGTAATTCTCCTATTTTGTATTCAGGGTGAACTTTAAAACCAATTTAATTTACATATTTCAATAAACCACTATTTTAACCAGAAAAAGACATCCCAAACCCTGTTAGGAGGATGAAATTGTTCATTTCCTTGAGATTTTTTGTCATGTTCATAAAAATGGAATAATTCACAAGAATTAACACATTCATAAGCCTCTCTGAAGATTGATGTTATTCCTCATTTTACAGACGAGGCACTGGAGCACAGAAAAAATAGGATCAAAAGTTTTCATCAGTCTTAGGAGCCAATCGGAAACACCAGCAAACTGAATTTTGAGGATAGTTAGCACTATATTACTTCCTTTATGCTTAAAAGAAAACTACCACTGGCTTCAGCTGCAGCTGTAAATACTAGAGACTTTTACAAATTTGACCACTCCAGATCAGTCGAGGTCCCCAAAAATAAGGAACACGGCACATCTGTTAAGTAGTTTTACAAAGCGGCATCACATAATAGAGGCAGAGACATAACCCCGTTCAGCTGGACAGTATTTGCAACCTTAAACGCAGAACTGTGTTTTCTTCCCGCACTCCATG